ACTCGCGCAAGCTGGCGACACACGCGCTTTGCGCCGGAACAATCACGCGTGCCCCCGCACAAGTACAGTGTGCGCGCGGCCGCTTGCGCCTGGCGGCAAGCGCCCGCCTCGGCCGCCCCCGTCACGGCGCGCAGCCGCCGCCCAGAGCGCCGCCCGCGCTCTCGCGCGCGCCGCGCCCCACGCCGCCCTCCACTTCCTCACGCCGTCGCGGTGTCCGGCGCCTCGAGCTCGAGCTGCGCGCGGAGCAGCTCCTCGCGCTCCCAGCTCTCGGCCAGCCGCGTGAGGGTGCGGAAGCACGCCTCGTACGCCACGAAGGTGACCGCAGACGACGGCGCCACCTTGAACCGGGCGCATGTCACCTCGGGCATCTCTCGGGTGATCTCGGGCGATCTCGTTCGATCTCGGGCGATCTCGGGCGGTCTCGTTCGATCTCGGGCGATCTCGGGCGATCTCTCGGGCGATCTCGGTCTCGGCCACTCTCGGGCTGTCGCCTTGAAGAGGCTCAGCCCGAAGCCCTTGTACAGCCCTCTCCGCACCCCCTCCTCGCGCGCGATCCGGAGCATTGCGGCCAGCGGGTTCGCCTCGGAGGGCCCGACCATCGCCCTCCGCCGCACGAGCTCGAAGGGGAACGTCAAGCTCGACGCCTAGCGCACGAGATCCTCCCCAAGTAGCGACGGCCATAGTCGGGAGCTCCCCGCCCGAGAATGACGGCCCACGCCGCCATCCCGGCGAGCATGCCGAAGGTCGCCGCCGGCGAGAGCGTGCCGAGCAGCCGCCTCCGCTCGTCGTCGGGCGGCAGGCCCGCGTAGCAGCGCTGCATGATGTCGTACGCCCCAAAGCGGACGGCGAAGTAGGGCATCACCTGCGCAGCAGCACCCCTCCTCAGCGCCAGCACCACGACCATCATGACAACTATTCTCGCGGCGGAGTTGGCGTCGCCGAGATGAGCGAGGGCGTGAGGCCGCGGTAGAGCGCGGCGGCGCCCTCCGACTGCACCAGCTTGCGCGTGTACTCGACCAGCCGCACGCCCTCCGCCGCGCCTGGAGCGAGGGTCGAGGGAGGGAGGGTGGGGGGGAGGGAGAGAGAGAGGGCAGGGAGGGCAGGGAGGGCAGCGATGGCAGGGAGGGTAGGGAGGAGAGCAGCGGGAGAGGGGTGAGCCCACGGACAAGACCATGTGACATGTGTGGGGTCTTGTGAGGTGTCTATGGACGCTCCCTCACAGGCTAGCGGCCTACTGCTCGCCGACTCACTCATCGGTGGTGAGTTCAGAAAGAAGAAACACATGAGGAAGGATTCCTATGTTGCGTTTAGCGGCGCGACGCGCGCTCTCCTCCTCCGCCAGCCAGTCCGCCGCCGCGTTGCCGTCCGCCCTAACGCTCAACGTGCGGCAGCCGCCTACGCAGTCAGCGTCCGACGAACTTCTTGCGCGGCTCTCCGAGGCTGAGGGCGACGCCTCCGGCCAAAAGTATGCCGTCCGCACCCTCGCCGAGCTGCTGGTCGAGGGCCGCGGCGAGGAGGTGGCGGTGCTCGACCTGCGCGCCGTCCCCTCCAAGCCGTCCGTCGACTGGTTCCTCTTCGCCTCTGCACGGTGCGAGACTCTTCCGAGACACATCCCGTCCACGACCCGCTTCGCACACCCACAGCTGCCCACGGCGACCGACGACGC